AAATTAGAAGAAGGCTTTTACAACTTAATTTCTTCCACTTCAGCTCCACTTAAAAGAAATTACTTTAAATAATTAAAGGTAAGAAAAAAACATTTATCTTCCTTCATATCACCATCCAGGTCAGATTATTCTAGGTCTGATGTTTTTATCCATTGTTTATTAGTTTCTGTTAATTTGGGACTTTTTCCCCCTAAAACATTTCACTACCAGTGACACTCTGACGTGCTCACTGCTCTCACGTGTCCTTCAAATGACCCTTAAAGCCGTATTTTTGATTTTACATGTCCCTTGAGAGTCTTCAGTGCCCCACCTTCATGCAAGACCAAATCTGAGAGCAGGTAAAAGCTTGGTGGTCTCACAAACACGTCTCAGTGGGCACCACTCCAGCTGAGTTAGGTACGCTGACTGAACACCTACGCTGAGTGCATAACCAGGTCACGGCAGCTCGCCTTGTCCCACTTTAAGTTATCATGATCCATTTACATACTGTATATACAGTCTCACGGCTTGCATAATAATCTATGTAATACCCAAGATGCTGTTCTTGAAATCACAGTGGTTTACTGAATACAGTACGTTGAGTCAATCCCCCTGAGCTAACATAACATGATCTGTTGACTTAACATGTTTAAAGAGATTAAATGCCATTGTGTGCACAGCCACGTCTCATGGAACATTATGTCCAGGTCTTTCAACAGTTGTATTATGGTGTTGGATGTTAATGTGGGCAGTTGTCCCACAAAAGCTACTAATCTATCAAATTTTGACACATAAACAAAGTTACCTGTTCTGTCGTGTGTTGACTTTACATGAGTGAAGGACTTGAGTGGTCCTGGGTGTGCACCTCACATGGTTTTCTTTAATGCATTTAAGCTGCAGTTATATATTTAACTCAACCCACAGCTGAACTTTGAGAAATTTCACCTCGGGACCAAGTGTAATGACAATGTAATTCTTCTCTTGAAATGTGGACCTGCATTGAATAAAGCACACAAAGGGGATTTTTCTGGCAGACAGAACTCTGAGGATTTGCAGAGAGGAGGCTTTTTACAAGCTGCACCTGATTCAGGTTTCATTTAGTCTAATTTTACATATTAGGATCGTCATTTAGTTTCATTAAATTAGACGCTGTTTTCCAGCTCTCTGGAGGTTTTACCACTAATGTTCTGCATCCTGTGTTAAATTCTCTCATGTGAAATGTATAAACAATAATCACGCTGATAGCTTGACTGTGCCAAACAGAAACATGCTTATTTGCTTTCCTGCTGACAGTAAGATGAGAAAATCAATATTGCTCTCATATCAGTAAATATGTAGCCCGAGCCAGTAGCCAATCAGCTTAGCTCAGCATAAAGACTGGAAACATAGGGAATCAGCTAGCCTGGCTCTGTCCAAAGGTAACAGAATCTGCCAACCAGCACCTCTAAGGCTGACATCCTTGACTACTTCTTGGCTGTGACCAAACCCTCAGGAACAGTGCCAGGCTTTGAAGCCAGTTTTACCTAGTGGCCAAATGTGGAATTACAACTGGGTCTGTCACCTGGTGCCATTGGGCCCAAAAAGACTTGCCCTCAAGGCTTACATGACAAAAGACATGTCTGTAAATCAGTGGATATATTTTTTTGAGCATCACAACCACAATGAAATGACTCTTTTCACAATCAGCATTTGCTCCAATTGGTCCAATATCAATTTTAAAGTCTTGAAGAGCTGCCTGTGTAAATGATTTTCATCCCCTTTCAAGTTACCAGCCAAACCGGACGGTATCCGTTTGGCCAGTGGAAGCTAGCCTCTGAGGCGCAGTTAGTTTCTAGTTTGCTTGCTCTATGGACCCGATAGTGTGGAAAATCCGAGTAACTTCCGGGAGCAGTCGCCAGTCAACCAGCAGCGACTCCAGGAAAAGGAAGTGGTCCCTAGAGGTGCTGATTTGTGGATTTTGTTACCTTAGGACAGAACAGAGCAATGTGTTTCACCCTGCTTCAAGTCATTATGCTAAGCTAGGCTAACTGTCTCCTGGCTGTAGCTTCATATGTAGCCTACAAACATGAGTGTGCTATCAATCTTCTTGTCTAACTTGCAAAGAAAGTTAAAGCATATAATAAGCACATCTAAGTATTCCTGTCACCCACCATCCATCAGTCTTTTCATTTAATCTCTTGAATTACATGAACCTGTGAAAAAAAAGTCACTCCCACGTTTAAGTTCAGAGAGATTTAAAGATTATCCATTCACTGACAGATAGACAGCACTGGTTCTTCTACCCGGTTTGAACTGTCTAATTAGGTTGGTGACACTTAAAGTTTCCAAGCCTGGAGTCCAACAGTGCCTTCCCACCAGATCCAGCAAGGATGCTAGGGGACACACTGCTCCACTCACTTGATTGGTGCACCCACCGAAAAAGTTGGTGGGTTCTGATTCTCTAATGGTTAGTGTCATGGAATGCACCTGATTGGATAAATGCATACTAGTTGGGCGGTCTCGGGTTCTCTGCTCTAACCCTGTAACCCAAACAGAAAAAAAACATGGTGGCCTGCTCATAAACTTTCTGTTATTCCATCTAAACAATCTAATCACCAAAATCTATTGATGAAAACACTTAAGGCAAGAAAAAGTCAATGTCGTATCTTGTTTCATTTTAGAAGGATGTTGCCTAGTTTGATAGCTTGGTCCAAGTTTCATGAGCCAGCTACATCGCACTGGATGGACTCATTTGCATAAAATTACATCTCTATTTATTTTATTTATTTATTTTATTTGTTCCAACCTGGGCAAAATACAACAACAGTGCAACCCTCAATTTATACCCTCCTTGGTCAGAAAGGAGCAGGAAGAAGAAAACTTATTATACCTTCCCCTTACTCTAAGCTAATATAATCAAATAATGGACGATTTGCCTGTTAATAGTGGACGATTGGACGAGAGAATGCATGATTTGCCTTTGTCTACTTTATGCAAATACAGACCAGCGAACGCACAGCAACCCCTCATCTAAACTCACCACAACACCCCACCACTGACTCCGTGATTTCTCCTGCTCTCTGTAGGTAGTCTCGCCACCAGTCAATCAGAGATCTCCGGCTTCTGATAGTCTGGTGACACTCCTTTCTAAAGTGTGTTTAACACACCGGCAAAAACGGCCGGCAACAAAGCAACGCCTCTTGCATTTTTGAAAAGGACACGCCCTCCCGGAAATGTGCGCTCCCCCTTTTCTCGTCCGCAAGGACACAAACACACAGAGAGCTTGAAAATGGATGCCGAGAGATTTAACTCAATATCAAACGTGTGCTCAGTCCACAAGATTGTGGAAATGAAGGACTTGCAGCGACTTGAGCCATTTTGTACCGCTACACGTGTTTCTAGTCGGACTATGTTTACGAGCACAAGAGTTAAACGAGCCACCGAAGGACCGCCCTGCGGATTTACTATTGGTTCTGCAACGCAGGGAGTTTTTTTAAACTCTGAAATCGTATCCGCCCATCTAAACACAAAATCAGGGAGAAAGTCATCAGTCTTTAGTTAAGCAAAGCGTCTGATTTGTGAGTCTACTCTGTAGGAAACAAATAGTTCTAGAATTGGTGGAGATGAAGCGTTAGCTATAGGATGCAAATATTGTGAGGCTTCATCTGACAACTTTCCCATAATATCAGTTCAGTTAATATTCTAAGCATTCCATCAAATCTTCAAGCTGCTATTATGTCTATAAATGAAACCTTCCTGTCTGTATTTAACTGTTTGGTGTGTACAGTTGACAGTTCAGTGAATGATTGATAGCCATTAAAACCAGAATGTGGGAATGTAATTACGGCCAACAAAACAGAGCCAACAGCGATGTGGAACGTTTAGTATCTCTGTCTCTTTGATGGCGCAGCTCATCACCAGCGCATGTTGTGACATGCCCAGGTGTGTCACAGAAAGCTTATTGTTTCTTACAACCACTGCCTGGCTGACTGATACTGTGTGAATGTTCAGGCGACAGTGTGTTTGGCTGTGAGCGACAGGTGTGAGTGTGTTCTTAAAGGGAGAGAGTCAGCAATTCTGTTTTGTGCATGTGTGTACTTGTCTGATTGTGTTTGTTTGAGTGTGTATGTGTGTGTGTGTGTGTGTGTCATCCAGAAGAGATCACACCACTCGCTTCATGTAATCCTCTGATAAACACTGCTCAGAATTCACACATCGTTAAATAAAACAGCCGTGAACTACTGCTCAGTGGTGATATTTTGTGTTTTTTTTTTTGTAGAAACTTTATGAAAGCCTTTCCAAACCTCCACTGACTGTCAGTGAAGCAGATCTCGAGGGTTTTTCTGACGTAATTACTGTCATGTATTATTGTCATTGTGCTAATCTGATGTGTAGTTCTGGTGCACGAAGCTGTAGGAATAACATTAATTTAGTTTTAAGCTTCACTTGTGTGGCTTTAGTGCTCATCCAGAGACAGTGCAGTGTTTGTGTGTTTTGACTGAGCAGATTACAGAGTAAAGAAAAAGGCAGAGTGGCTGCTTTGGATGATTTTCCCTGCTGGGAATTCCCACTTAAAAAAAGCTTCACTTTTCACAATAGCCGCAGTTTCACTGAACACTGAACGCATCTCTTGGATAATTAAACAGCACTATAGGGTCATGTTATGGCTAGTGGTTATAAATGTTGCAGCATTTCTGAGAACTCACATTTTTTTCCATCAGGTATGTATGTACTGCATAAAACACTACCGGAGTACATTAGCGCTGCCAGCTGTTGCTATGGAGAAGTCAGAGAGAGCTGCAAAATTAATGTTCTAGCATATTCTCATTGCTTTCCCTGATACAGTCAAGAATACTGAATTGTAGGTAAAAATCTAAATTGATTCAAAATGCTAAATTTATTCACACTTCACACCAAAAGCTAAATATGAATTGCTTAAATTTAAGTGTGGACTGGATTGCTTTTTAAATGCACCCACCGGTCTGTCTCTTTGATTTCCTAACCAGTTAAATTAACAAAACTTTGCTCTCTTCTCTCCAAAGACTGATGACCACAGAAAACAACCTATTACAAACCAGGGAGGAGGAGGGCGGGACATTTGAGCGGGCGCTGGTGGCTTCTGAGTTTATCGACTGGCTGCTACAGGAGGGGGAGATGCCAACCAGGGAGGAGGCAGAGCAGCTGGGACGAAGGCTCCTTGAACATGGCATCATCCAGCACGGTGAGGAAGACGGAGAAACTGTTATTAGTGTGTGCCACATGCATACTGTGACTGAAATTTAGGTCATTGAATACATTCACACAGTCTCAAGTAAAATTGTATTAGATTTTGCTTCGTCAACTGAGTGGCACACAACCTGACTGTGGGTCAGGCTGTTGACAGATTGATGACCTGTGAATGACACTTGGTGACAGTAAAGCTAGTGGCCCCTGCAAGCAGTCACATCTTACCTCTATATGATCCTGCAGAGAGATCTGGCGGTACATCATGGCCACTGATTCTGCTGTCCTGGCTCTTTGCTCTTTTGGGTCATGCAATCTGATAACTGTTGTAGACTCAGGGTGCTGTCACAATTAACTTGTTTGGTTTAGTTAAAACAAACTCAGGTCTGTTTGCCCATACAGTTAGTACAGTTCATGTGGGCTGGTGTGGAAGCTGTTGATTGATCCCTGGTGCGGATCAAACAAACAAACTGAGACTGCTTGAAAAGGCGGGGAAAAGGCACAAAGAAGGCTCCATTTCTGAAACAAAACTCAAATTTTTCATGATCATCCAGCCAAAAGAAATCATCATAGATAGAGGTCACCTTACTGAAAAGTACATTCCTTATGTCTTCATATGTAGGACAGTAAAACAAGAAATGAACCTTTTTACATAACCTTTATGTAACCTTTTATGCAAATCATTTAGTCACCATGGTAACAAGTATGCATGTTGGCATAGATTTTTCTCCCCTCATTAATAATGTCAAAAGCTGTTAAAACTATTGTGCTTGTATTCACCTCCGTGTAGGCTGTCAGTTCATTAAGTCAATTAAAAAGTGTGTCACTGATCCCGCAGGAATAAGCCGTGAATCATGACTGTGCACGATCCCTCTTTTTGTCCTGTCGCTACCTGTTAATCATTACTCATAACGTGCGATCGATTTGCAGTCTAGTAATGCTTGTAATGGTTATTATCAGTTTTTTCATGAGCTTCTTGTGACACCACAAAACACATCAGAGGCATTAAAATGTTGCATAATCCTCTGTCAGTCACCAGAGCCTGATTTCCCCACGTGAGTCCTGATGATGCAGGATGATGAGGCCAAAACTATCCAATCAACGTGTCTGTCAGTCTTTATGAATTCATGTTTACTCCTCTTGGTTTGTTCGTATAAAGTCAGTGTGAAGTGAAACTGCACCTGAGCTATGTGCAACAGTGAATCATTTTCACCCTGATCTGGACCAAATGAACCAAACTACAGGTGTGAAAGCAGCCTTATAGCATGATTACAACCTTATCTAAACACTTAATCACACCGTTTTGACTCTTTAAAAAATGTCGTCACGTGCAGTTAAATCTTTTCAACACAGAGGGATCCCTTCTGACCTTTTTGGCACCAAAGATATGTCTAGATGGATCCAACCTTGATTACAGTTGCACCTTGCTATGACGAAAATCTTGTAAATATACTTCTACCCTCATACCTGAAACACAAAATAGGTCAACCCAGTGTGTGTAATGGGAAACTGCAAACATTCAAATAGAAGTCCAGCACCCATTCTCATCCACTTGTAAAACTCATTACAGCTCATTTCAGGCTCCCAGACGTTCTGACCTGATCCACATTATATCTCACACTGTATTGGATTATGTTTCACTAGTCATCTGTCACCTGACCTGACCTTCTCAGGTCCACACCCAGGAGTGAGCAGAGCAACTGAATGTTACTGCGTAATAAACACGAGCAAAATGTGACCTGAATGTCACGGGTGACGGCCATCAGGAGGTCAAAGGGTTTAACTGGCTGTAGAGCTGGTGACCAGGGCTATCATATTATCTGTGTGACTGTGTGATATTTATACACTTGTTTTATGTGATTGGTTCGGCTAAATCCACTTTGTGTACAAACTCCTGCATTCAAAATGTTACTTTAATAAATGTACAGATGTTTTGTTTATCACATGTAAAGTACAACATGTCAGCAGCATTTTAGAAACAAGATAGAGGAACAAGAACAAGATAAATTTGTTCATCCTGAAAATGTTATCAACTTAAAACAATAAAGTCATTACCAAATCTGTCTTTTGTAAACAAAAAGAGCCATCAGAGAACAGGCAGAGGTGGATTTGCTGCACTAGTCTGCTGCATGTTTCACCCTGCACATCACCACTCTAGTAGTTTACTGGGCAATTTGAGATGAACTGAGAGAGTTTTTCTCGTTTAATTTAAAAAAGGATTAATGCGTCTGCTGTGTGTGCAGTGTAATCAAACATGCTACTCCCAGGTGTGGCCATCAACCCAGTTAAGGGCATAATTGGCGCCAGCTGCTTCACTTAACAGTGCTACAGTACAGGCCATACAACTGTTGATGTCTCTGCACTGCAAAGGTATTTTGTGGAAATATTAGACAGTGAATGCTGACCCACACAAGATGACAGTATGTGTGCATGTGTGTATTCGTCTTGTCATTCTCCGCCGTACAGTGAGTTCATGACAAGTTTACATTTGAGATGATGTTTCACACTGAACGCAGATGCTGGATGAGTTTCGGCCGGCTCGTCACATGACATGAAATTTGATTTGACGCTGATGTCTGTGGTTTACACGCGTGTCTGATTAAATTAGGAAGTGTATTACAGCAGAGGAGTCACATGGCCGTCAGTGCTGGAGTTTTTTTTTCTCCGTCATTTAAGTGGACACTGTTCTGCAGATTTCACTTTATGGTAGAGAGATGCACGATAGGATAAATCATATCACTTTGAGGAATCGAGCATGTACAATATAACCTTCAACACAGCTGGTGGTTGACACGTGGAACTAATTTATGGAGGATTACGGTCTGTAGATGTCCATAAGGAGTGATACATCATAAAAATACCACTTCACTAGTTAATGTAATACAGAGCCTGATCTGTTTCCTGCTGGCCTCATGGTGTCATCCTCCCAGAGGAAACAGCTGCTCCATTAGTGGAGGATATCTGGCTTTAGCACTGCTCATATCATTATGCACAAGTTATTTAAGCTAATTTACTTTCATTGATAATGTGTTTACAAGCCTTAAGTTCCCTTTAGAAACACATTATAAACATGCTACTCTGCATTCCTGCCCCCTGCAGTGCTGAGCAGAGGACTCATATAATGTAAACAAGGAAAGTCTGGATGGATCCTCATTGTGTTTGGTTATCATTGTTTACAGTGAGACAGCTGTTTTTCTATGCTGTACATCTGAGGAGCCGAGATAAGAGAGGAGGCAGCTTTGAAACTGACCTAGATGTAAAAGTTGCAGATAATGTACATGCTCTAAGTGAATTAAAAAATATAAATCACATAAGTCGTCAGAGTGGAGTTGCTGTATCACGGTGCCAAATGCAGGGGGCTAAAAGCAGGCTGTAATCACACTGGGCAAGGCTTTATACAGTAAATCTTAAAGTGACTCTGCTCCTGACACGAGATCTATCTATCCTGCAGTAAGTCACTTTAATCCAGCATTAGAAGAATTAAAAACAACTAGCAATACAGACTAGCAGTCCAGTTTCACAGAGGTTCAGAGAGTAAAACACTCCTCTAAAGGCTGATCCATAGTTTGTGTTTTTCTTTTGTCACATACAATAAAAGGATTTGTCAGGTTGACAAAAGCTTTGCACCACAAAAGGACACGTGAACTAACCAAAAGCTCAGTGTGTGTTATTTAGTGAACTAGAGGCTGATATATGAAACCATAACTAAATGTCAACACAGTAGACATACACTAGATTATGTGGCAGTATGTAGGGTAAGGTAAGGTAAAACTTCAGTGTCCCACAGGGGCAATTTGAGATACAGACAGTAGTCATGAGTACATAACACACAGTATCCAGTATCACACATGAACATGAGTGGTCACTGCTGGTTAAGATAAGCGCTTAGTGCTGCATTTAGGGAGGCAAAACCTGATGGAAGCATCTGAAACTCAACATGGAGGGGATGCTGAGAGTCTGAGACAACAGACAGAGATTTAGGGGTGAAGTATCACCAGTGATCTTACGGCCCAACTTCACCACTTTTTCCAACTTGTTTTTAAGGCTCAGATAATCAAACCCACAGACAGTGTTAAAAGAAAGAACAGATTTGATAAAAGCAGAATAGAACAATTTAATGGTTGTCCTACCTACATTGAAACTCCTCAGCTTTCTTAAAAAGAATAGGCGTTGGTTTGCCTTCTTACAGACGCCATCAGCGTTCACATCAAAATTCAACTTGTCATCTAAGACAGCGTCCAATACTGCTGCACACTGCTGCCACCGGCTCCGCCTTGATCACAGAAGGAGCAGGAAGGCAGGGCCTCCTCCGAAAATCAATTAAAGGTAGGGTCTGGAGGATTTTCCAGTTGCTGTTTGTAAACACACATTCAAATTTGGCCCCTCCTATCAGGCTCAACTCTCCCGGGTGTATGGAGCCCGGAGGTATGGAAGAAGGCTTCACAGAAGAGGTTCAGGCAAGGCTGGCACTGGTGCACGCTCGGACACGCTTGGGCACGGCACCTGTGCTCTCTCATTGGCTGGGGAAATCTCCACCCAGAAGCGGTCTGAGCTCACAAAAACATCAAAATACAGTTAAAGGGCAGGAGCTCTGCAAACAGAGTCACCACCACACATGAGTAGAAACCCATAGGTGATGATTAAGCAGGATTTCATTTGTATATGTCTATATTTTGTTTTGTTTGAAAACCCTCCAGATCCTACCTTTAACATGTGAATGGTTATAGGTCCCTATCGGTTAAAGACATCAGACATACAGTAAATGTCCGACAGATGTCAAAACGAAACGGCCTTTAGTAGCTTGTCATCTGGGGAGATTTAAATCTAAGAATTTGAGAGATGTAGAGATACTGTTTAATTGTTTCTTTACTTACTGTGTGTCTTATGTTGGATATTTCTAATGTGCATTGTTGACCAGGATGGGGCTGAGAGGTGGTTGGGTTAGGGGAAGACAGTGGGAGGATGGACAAAGGATATACAAAGAGAAATGTTATAATATTACCTTCTATTGCTCTCTTGTAAGCAACAGCCTGACAAGGACATAACAATTTAGCATTTGTTTTAAATGTCAGTTAAATACCTTGCCAGTCAAATAAATAATCCAATAGTTCAATTTAAGCCCCAATGGATTCACTACAACCATAGAGGAAGAGTAAAATTATCAAAGGTTTAAATTATTATTTACGCGTGTAAGTGCAATATGAACTATTTAAATCATGGAAAGTAATAAGTTATGATGTTAAATTGAGGTGTTGGGACCAGAGTAAGGGCCATGTGTGGTCTTTGGATCTGCAAATCTTAGTGGAAGAGGTTGGATAAGAGGAACTGCTGCTGCTGCTATAGAGGACAAACTCAAACCATTTTTGGAGGGTTGATTTAAATTGGATTGTTTTAATCCCGTATAAATGGGTCAGATGACTCATCTAGAAATTATGTTACAGTGCAACCTCTGATGAAAAACTACCACTTTGAATATAACGTAAGGGGAATGCAGTCTTACATTTTAAACGCAGGCTCTTGGGCTTCAGCTTATGAGTAGGTTTCTGATGTATGTAGCTGAGTGGTTGACGGGCTTGCTTCTGCATGTGATGTCGCAGTTATATAATTGTAGTATTCTTTTAAATTAACAGTATGTAGCCTATAATTTTGAACTTCTTTCCAGAGACATGAACAAACATAGACATAAATAAGTTTCAAAGTAGGGAAAAAAATTAGAAAAATAGGTCAAGGGGAGGTTCACGACAACCATAAAGGGGCCAATAGATTTAAAGAAAATTGTTTGATAGATGACACATTTAGCCACTCCAAATTGAGGACTGTTAGCTATATGTTTTATCCTTAAATTTTTATTTTCCACTTTTCCAAAATTCTGCCTTGACTGCCTTTTTATATGTCGGAATTCTGTAAATGCTTAAGAGAAAGAAAAGTCCAACACTCAAAAAAGCAGGGACTAAACATTGACAGTGAATTGACAGTAACACGTGAGAAGTGAATTCATTTAAATGAAATTGTATTCTGGTATCTCCTCAGTCCAGCTGCTATCGGCTCAGCTGAGGTCGACGCTCTCTGAGGTCAATTTATGTTTGTTGAGCACAGGTGATCTCAGCTCAGTGGACAGTTTGTTTAGTGCTGCTCAGTTGAGTTCAGTGTTTCAGGCTTGGCTGAGCTCAGTTCAGCTGGGAGGGCTGGCCCTGAAAAATGTTTCATCATTATTCCCATAGTTGACTAACAACTAGTATAGAATTGCATTTAACAGAGAAAGATCATGTCCTGTACATGTTTTAGTGATGGAAATAATCGATCCTGCTGCACTTCCTCATGTTTTACATCTCTGTACCGTCTTCATACTTTATCCTAAAGAAGAGATATCTAGAAGAACTGGCATTAAGGTTGTTTAGAGAACCACAGCCAAGATTTTGCTTGGATCAGGATCAGTGATCAGATCAGGAATCAGTAAATATCCATCATGGTATATGATGAGGTTTCAAAAGCCTCTATGCCTTTACCTTCCCTTACTTCCCCCTCTCTTTCTCTTCAACATATTTGTGCCCACAACTGAAATTTGTTTATTTCTTGTGGTGGAAGTGTTCTCCTGTCTTGCCCAAGCACAAATCTTAAGAAATTTTTTTAAAAAAAGGTAAAAGTTAGTTCATCAGTTCAGTTCAATAGAACTTTTTCATCTCAAAGGAAATTTTTGTGCCAGAGAATGCTTCAAATTACAATAACACTTGATGCAGTTACAACAATTTAACGTTCGCAGCCAGCAACAACCAGAACAACCAGTGGTTTCCCCGTGTCAGGGTCACTCACTGGGCCCAGTTTTAGAAACAATAGAGTATTAAATATCTGGCAAAATATACAAATGTACAATATAAAAAGTGTTTTGAAGGAGCAAAAGCAAAACCTAGTGCCTAATAGAGTAACAGCCTACTGATATTCTATTAGGCACTAGGTTTTGCTTTTGCTCCTTTTTGAGGGGTAAGACAAGTACAAGAGTTACGAAGAATGAACTCAAATGGTGGAAAAAAGCAGACTGCACCTGATAATCAATGTTATTATATATAGTAATATTGCACATGATGTTGAGAAGATATTGCACAGTAGTAATATACTTCATATAAAGTAATAGTGCACCTAATGTGGGTGAACATTGCTGTCAGTGTCCTTTGTTTCACCTCTCCTCGCTACAGAAGGGGGAGGAGTTATACAGGTAGAATGGATGCAGGTAGAAAAGAAATCCAGTGGCGTTCTATAGTGCTCCTCAGTGGTCTCAGTCTATGGCTGAATGTGCTCTGATATGACCCCAGAGTGTCATGCAGGGGGTGAGAGGCATTGTTCAGAATACTGAGTAGTTTTCTGAGCATCCTCCTCTCTGACACCTCCACTAAAGACTCCAGTTCCACTCCCAGGACAGAATCAGTTTTCCTGATGAGCTTATTGAGTCTGTTCGCATCAGTTGCATTCACCCTGTCATAGTGTGTTTAGTCTTTGGGCACAGAGGACTGCTGTTTTCCTATATATTCCATCTTATGTTAAAAAGAAACTGTAGTCCCAAAAAGACTGCTGAAAGACTATATATAGAGTGATAAGAAAATGGTTGTATCTCAGAAACTAAAAAGAGCACAGTCAAGTATTTGGTATCAACAAATTGTGCAGTGACAAAATTATATAGGAAATATTTAATGAACACAATGAAAGTGTTTTTTTCCCTAATTTTTCAAAAAACTGGCTTTGACTATTGATAAAAGTGTGATTTTTCATGTGATCTAAACATTTCAAAGTGGTGTTGATAGATACTTCAAAGTTTCAAAGTTTGTCTGTTACAGGCTTCAAGATTTTAGACCAATCGGAACAAAAGTTGTTGCATTTTTCCTTCACTGACTAAATACATACAATACAAATGGGATTATTTACCCCCTGTCTGTTTTTCTTCGTCACCAGTCACCAACAAGCACCACTTTGTCGACGGCCCCCTCCTCTACCAGTTCAGGATGAATTTCCGGCGACGACGGCGGCTGATCGAACTTCTTCACGAGCGCGGCCGCAGCATCCCCGAGAGTCACGACAGCCCCTTCTGTCTCCGCAAACAGAACTCAGATGGAGGCAACACAAGCTTCCTCTCAGGTAGACACCGTGCACCATGTCCAGTTTATCCGTTCTTCAATTAAAGACAGACAGAAAACTTTCAGTGTGTCCATTGCAGTTTTCGTTCTTTGATTTCACTTTAGAATTTAGATGCTCTCCTTGGTTATTGGATTCTGTCCTGTATGAAATAGAATGGTGACATATTGACCCCTATTACGTTACCTTCTGTTGACACACACCCACACATATGATAACTGGTGTCCTTGGTGGTATCTGCCACGTAAAGATAAGAGTAGAGCTGTTTGTGTTTCTAGGTATAAGAACATGGTGAAAACTGTCATGTTCTTCAATTACATTATCCAGTTGATTTGGCCTCTATAAACATAAGTAGATAATTGGAGATAGTGGTCGCAGGGGAACAACTCTGACTTAACTGAAGTTGGCGAACAAAACAGGAAAACAGGTTTACATAACTAATGTTACATTTTTTTGCACAGTCATGAAAAGTTTAATCCGCTCATTAATTTCACTCTATATCCGAATGTATTGCGTTCCCCTCCTGCTCTGTCTTTTACTCTCGTCTGTCTTCAGTCTAACATGTCCCTGTGTCTCTGTCTGTCTCAGTGAGTCCCACTAAAGAGATTAAGTTGGCGGTCGGAGTTCGGCGGAGCAGCATGAGCAGCAGCTGTGGCAGCAGCGGTTATTACAGCAGCAGTCCTACGCTCAGCAGCAGTCCACCTGTCCTTTGCAACCCCAAATCTGGTGAGATGACATGGACACACGCATACATTGACCTTCTTTACACCTTCATTTGAATGTGTTTTGGGTGGTCGGATTGCAGTCAGATAGTGCTTGACTACATGAAGATACAGGTGTAAGTGCACTCAAAATGCATTGTTTTCTGATCGGTCAAATCTGTCTATCTATCTATCTATCTATCTATCTATACATCTCTACATCTCTACATCCTGCAGTGTCACAAGCATGAACCTCTCATATGTGAGTAGATGCACACTTCCTGTAGATCTTCAGTAACCAGGTCATGATTCCTGGAAAGAGAAAGTATTTTTTTGCTCTTTGAGCACCACAAGCTGAGTGCCATCTAGTTCCATTATACTTGGGAGAAGTCAGATATCTCCACAGCCAACATCTCCAGCACTCTGCACCTCACACCAAAACAATTTCGGCTGATAAGTAGCTCTACAGGTAAGAGATAAAATATGTATTTTTGATTTTGGGGTGAACTGTCCCTTTAACATTCTTGTAAGTATAGAAATACAAAAACTCACAACAGGCTACACAAAAAATTACTCTATCCACCTCCTGCCATTTATTTCATTGCAAACTATAAACTGGCTTCACTTTATTTCAGTGGACTTGAAATGACTTCGTGTTAACTGCAGAGGAAGATCGATATGTGCTGCTGGTAACGAGTGCATATCATTTAGTGGAGTTTTGAATGAAGTGATGCTTTTGAGCTGTGTGTGTTTGAGTGTGTGTGTGTGTTTTCTGCTTTGTGTGTCTCTACTACTGTGAGGTTTTCCTTTGATGTGTCAAATCCAAACAGGGAGTCCTTGACAGAGTCTCTTTATAGCACCAGAGCCCCCCTCGACATGAGTACTCACAGACGCTGTACACAATGAACAGGAAAAGGAAGGCACACACACACACACATTATTTTTTACACACACACACACACCCCTCCACACAGAAATCCCCTCAGCCTCACATTAACCTTGGTAATTGTGCACATCACACAATGCGAAGATAAGGACTTCAAACATATAGAACATCCACATTAGATGGTACAGAAGTGGTGGTATGCATATATTGAGCCCTACAGAAAATAACGAAGATGGCCTCTGATATGAAATGACAGATGATCATGTATTAATGAAATAAGTTGTCCTCAGATCAGATCAGGATTTCCACAGAGAGATTATGGATATGTCCAGATCAAGAGGATAAAAAGGTCCCTCTCATTTTACTTCCTGTGTCTTATCAGATTAGAATGAAGTACCACACAGACCACAAGAGATTCGTCAAGAACACATACTGTTGTGCTCTCATGTTTGTGTGGAAGGAGTTAATGCAATTTAAGTTGTTTTGGCACTTTTAGCAGTTTGACCCAGCATACTTTTGCCCACGTTTTCTCAATTTATAGGCGTTGTTTTCTGAGTTTAAAACTATACGAAACAGCTGTGTTTAAGGTAAAATGCATACCCACCTTTTGTTTCAGATTCATAAAGAAGTGTGCACAGTTGGTTCTGGTTTCTAAATCTCAATCTTTGCTTATTAGCAAGGGCGTAGGTTTTGTTTCTGTCAGGACACATGAAATAGGGGGGTTGGTGGTCCTCTGCAAGAAAATGTAGAGCATTAAACACTTAATTTCCAGCATTCTTGTGAATTTTTATGCACTAATTTGTGCCTTTTCTGCATCAAAGTATGCCGTTAATGTCTTTAATTTTGCTACTATAAAAGTCTTCTGCCACTGTGTTATTGGGGGTGGGGGGACAAATTAACATGTTCTAAACATTGAGGGGAAAGTGTGTCTCCCCTGAAATCTTCCCTTTTGCTCATTTGACAAACAGTTGCCCTAAAAGTAGAGATAAGATAAAGATAATTGGTGAAATCACACCTACAGTGAAGCCTCATCCATTCATTCATCCAAAGTGTTCCTGTAAACCATAATCATCAGTGACATCTCAGTGATTAATCCTCAGAAAAGTGTTCAGTAGTTATTAAGTCAATACACTCAAACACGTTAAGGATTAATAATGAACAAAACAATATTGAAAAAGACAAACACAAGCTAGCTGACTGGGTGCCAAGAATTATGATTTTTAGTAGATAACTACAAGTTTATTAATTGGCATATTATTAGTTGTGTGTGTGTGTGTCTGTGTGTCTGTGTACGACAGAAACCCATGCTCACAGTGACAGTGGCTTAAAAACATCAAAATATCTAATTCAATTCCATTTCTTGCCTCATCTGTCATTTCCATTTCACATGAAACCACATGCTTTGGTCTGAAGTATGTGAGATGTGTGCAATCCTCAGCACACATTCCTCTTTAATATGTTTATGTGTGGTAATTGTTGTATGCTTGGTACAGTGTGTGTGTGTATTTTGTCTGTCTGGCTCCTGGTTGCTGACCAATTAGCTACATCCTACCAGGTCTCTGTTTTATCACATTTTTAATCATTTCTACAAATACAGTGAATTTAAAATGAAATATTGAAAATCATTTTTTGAGACAAAGAAGTCCAGTAACAGCTGGAGTAGAGTCATGTTGAAGTGGGTAATGGTTAGGGGAAGTTGGAGGAGGGGGAAGGGGAGCTATACTGTTTCAGGAAGCAGTGAGCCTCCGGGTCCCGTTAGCATGTGACTGACATTAGAACTTTCTACACACTTTTTAACCAACAGTATTATGTCTGTGTATTTTCAGCTTGTGTGTGCATGTTCATGCCTGTTTGCATATATTTGCTCATGTATATGGTTGTACCTGATTATCAAGGTAGCAAGTAACATTGTGTGTGTGTGTGTGTGTGTGTGTGTGTGTGTGTGTTTCTCTCAACAGTTCTGAAAAGACAAGTGAGTCCAGAGGAGCTGCAGACACCAGGAGGACCTTTTATAAAGAAGACATTCACTGTAGGGGACACACACAAACGCGCGCGCGCGCACACACACACACAAACACACACACACACACACACACACACACAAACACAACCACAACTGAGCTCTGACAAAGATTACTTCAGCGTGGATGTTTTCACACATAGTCAGTCACACATTCCCTCTCACAGACACACACTTGTAGACACATGAGGCAGGGCACTAAAGTCCTGTGCACAAGCAGGATCTCTGGCACATGCACACACACACACACATGCAACACACACATTTCACTCTATAGTTTGTCTCAGATAAATGCGATCTCTATGTTGGTGAATATGTGAGTGTGTGTTGGTGCATGTGTACACATTTATATGCTGCTAACCAGATTGCTCCAACAAAGTTTCATTGTATAACACACAGTGACAATAAAGGATTTGTCTATCACACTTCAAGAACTGAAAATTTTGAATAAGATATTATGTGTGAAGTATTTTCTAGACATGGTTGCACAGTGTGGATGTTTGTTCTTGACTTTTTGGGGACAATATATGATGGAGAGAATCCATCCACAAAGGTCCACTTAGTGGCTAAAACTACAAATTTTGCAAAAACAGTACATCAGGGGATGATGTTTTTTTGTTGGTCAGCTTGGAAGTTAGCATCACTGTGGTTCCCTCGACAAAAAGCTTATGGGATTTTTCCACTGGAGTTTAGATTATTGCAGAAAATAAACTCTGTGGCACATAAACATTCATGATACTTACAATTTTTGTTAAGCAAGATAATCTTCTCAAATGCACACCTCTCTTAGGGTTTTTTTATGTGTAGATGCAATTGCCAGAAGTAAGAAGCTAACCTTAGGCTATAACATCACCACCACAACGAGTTAGTAAAGCTGTGTTCGGCGTGATGATGTGCTATAGTGTCTTTAAGCCTCTCATTAACAACCACTGTTTTTTAAGACACATAAAAGCTTCAGAATTCACAAGTGGGGTGTTTACTGGGGTATTTCATGTCGCAGAACAAAACGTGAATGTCTCTTCAGCTTGTGTTAATCACAAACCTTATTTCAGGCATCTAGCCAAAAACCCATTGACTTGGAGACGAGGGAACTGGGAGTGCTAAAATGCCTTTCGAGTTTTAGGACTCGTGTGCTATAAAAACAGTGAGATGACATCTTATCAACATGTGCTCTCGTTGTTCTTCAGATTGTCGGTGACGCTGTGGGCTGGGGGTTTGTGGTGCGAGGCAGCAAACCCTGTCACATCCAGGCTGTGGACCCTGGTGGACCTGCAGCTGCTGCTGGCATGAAGGTAAGAACAGGAGAGATGGATGTAGTCCTGAGAGCACTGTGAGCTCTCAGTGGGCCTCCTCCATCTCTACGTCCATGAGGTAAAGATGCGGAGAAAAAAAAATGAAACTTGTATCCCTTCATCTTCTGTGATTTTATCACTCTTCCAGACTGTGCACCCACAATGCAATATGAGCCCGTGTTGTTTACGTCTGAGAGATTGAAATCAAATTTAATGTTTGCCTTTGATATTTGAGGTAGTGTCCTCTGTGCTTCTTTGCTAAGTTGTGTACAGAAATGCAAAGTCCACTGATAGTTGTTGTTTGAACAGTGTTTCGAGTGTGTTAAGTATGCACTTATATAAATATACTGTTATATTTCAGTGCACACTGTGAGTGAAATGTTAGAAAACAATGAAAGACAGGAATAGGAGCGGAATAGAAAGTATGGAGACACATCCTGTGTTGCGGAGGATGGTCTGGACAGTAGCAGATAGGAGCTGTAAAATCAGGAAGCGTGTTGAGAGAGGGAAAAAGTCACAGAGGGAAAACAGGGTAATGATGGCTCTGCTGCCACAGCTGGCATGAAGGTATGTAAGTAGAGTGGCAGCGAGGAATCCTGGGAATGCAGAGCATGGAGGAGAGAGCAAGGACTGAATGAAAAACTGTTGGAAAAAAGCAGCAGGAGCCAGAGAGACGAGCAGACAAACGCATAACTTGGAGAGTAGACATGAAGTTAATAAACTGTTGGTTGTCAGCATTTGAATATTGGACCAACCACTGCTAACGTCCAGTGAAGACTCGAAATTAAAAAGTGAGCATTCAGATGTTTCCTCAGGCTTTGAGTATCGTCTAAGTGTCCAAAATGTCAGCATTTCATTACAGAAACCCAAATGTGACAAACATAGAAACAGAATGAGGGTGAAACGGACATTGAACTTTTTGTTGTGGACATTTGACAACAGAAGTGGCGATTGTTGTTAGTTGTTATGGTGACAGCACACTTCATTGGGGCTGTAAAGTGTGTCACACTCATTAGTTTGAGAGCTTGTTCTCCTTTTGTCTGTCTTTTGTTGATGCTCATCATGTAGCCTAGACCTATCATTACATTCATAATCATCAACATCTGTGTGTCCTGGTGTGTTGCAGAGTCAACAGTCAAAACTCAAAGTATATCTTACCATTGTCTGACATTAGGGACATATGTGACGAAGCCAAACATGACAAAAGACTGTGATTCTCTTACCAAAAAAACAGGAAGCAATTAAATCCAACAATCCTCAGTTCCTCTCGAGCAAGAGACCCTTCTCACTTTTGTATGATTCCTCTGCTTGTCACTGCAAAACCTCACCTCAGTGAATTAGTGACTTCCAGCAAGTAGGTTTACATTGAGGAAAGTCAGTAAAGTTAGCACAGAAGTAACAAAAACTGCAATTCCTCTGATGGCCACTTGAGGCTGGCTCCAGAAGCCAGTCAGGCCCCTCTAGACACCCATGTTGGAATACCCAATTTTACAGCAGCAATGAACATGTTTACAGCCTGTTACAAAAAACAGTGATGGTCTCTGTAGCTAATTTCCTCCTTTGTGACGTCTGCACGGGGGTGAATTTTTTTTTTAACTCACCCATTTATGTTGTATTATGCCTTAAAGTGAGGCATAATTAAGGGCGGGCCACTTTGACTGACAGGCTGTCTGCTGATAGTGTCCTCAGCTCCACCCCTCGCTCCTCCACAGCTCTAACCTTTCCCCTAAATATGGTCAACTTTGCCTCCAAAAATCCAAGATGGCGACGGCTGAAATGCTGAACTTGAGGCTTTAATGAGTGAGGTTAAAAACGGTAACTACGTCCATTATTTTTACACAGTCTGTGTGCTACAGTGGTCAGAAGATGGCCACCACTCTGATCATCCTGCTGTGTTGATTTGAATGGGAATGTCTGTTATACTCATTTTGTTTCTGTGCTGACAACCCTTAAGAACAACAACAACAACAAAAAAAAGTGAGCTACAACCTTTTAACATATGGGAGATTGAAACAAATGTGCAGTTTTTTAGTTCAAACTGAAAAGCATTGCCGACTAATTAAAGTAAAGGATGTATACTCAAAGTGATGTGAGGGAGAAGACACTTGAGATGAAGAGTGAGGAGTGTGAGGGATGAGGAAGGAGGCAGAGGAAGTAATATCACTTCTGCTTTTTTTACTGTCAGCTGTCATATTTTATCACCATGGGAACACGTGTCATAGTTCACAGTCTGTTATATAAGTGTGTGTGTGTGTGTGTGTGTGTGTGTGTGTGTGTGTGTGTGTGATTAGCTCCATTGACCTGAGGATGGACTGATTGTGAAACCTACTGTGAGGATGTCATGTAACACTTCACTTCACTACTCCAAATTTTAAGTCATTTTAATTTTTGTGTTTTTGTTTTTTATTTATTCTGAGAGGCAGCATTATGTTTTATGTGCTGAGGGCAAAAAACCCAAAACAAAACCAGTTCATAAACGCCTGAGATTACATTCCTAGTATTCAGCAGTGTGTGCTACAGCATCGCCAGTATATCGCCAGGAGTTCATTGCACTCACTGCCATTCCTCGAATGTTACTCCTGTTCCACCTCACCTGAGTAGTTTTATTGACGTGTAATCAAGCACTAACACGGGGAATGCTGTGCTGTGAGGTGTTGGCACTGCGGTCCAGGCAGAAGGCCAAAGGAGAAACTTATACCCATTAGCTCGGGGGGGTAGGTAGTAAAAAGCATCATGAAGCTCTTCTCATTCCTCATCGTACACACATGCGCTGTCAAACACTCCGTATCTCTTCCTATCTTTTTCCACCTCATGCAGACACACACATCAACATCACCCTAGCCATAATGGATCTGAGCACTTACGTAACTGTCCGATACATCACTGTTAGAGCCTCTTCTAATGCACTTTTATAAAGCTGCAGGTAGAGCAGGATGTGTGTTTGTCTCACTTTGTGTCCATTTGTGCATCCTGTACCGTACTGCGTGTTTGCACACCATTATGTGTACTGAACAATATGTTCTCACATTATTTCTACCACATGGATGTAACCACCAGAGTTTTTCCATTTGAAAGACTTTTAACCCTAAAATTGAACATTTAAAGATGAAAAGATTTAGAGGTTAGGTGAGTCAGGCACTGGAGCAAGTTGTGATGTAAAAGTACTCTAATACCATGTGTACATTTTTTTATGTGACATTTAATCCCATATTTGAGCACATTGATTTCGCCAAAGACATACAATTATGAACAGTTACAACATGCATAAAAGATCTAATAGTCTGACTCCCTCTTAAAGGAAAAGTTTAACATTTTAGGAAATACTTTTCTGCTTGTTCTGCTTGCTAACACCCTGGACTCTTGTCACTAGTGCCTTTTGCACTGTCTGTTCAAGGCAAGAACACTTTAATGCCACCTTGCTGCTAGGTTTAAAAGGTACAGAGTTGTCTCACCTTTAAGCTGGCATCGGAGATAGTAACATCACCGAAACAATGTCTGTATGAAAGGGACAGCAGGCAGGACGAGATCCTGGGCGGCACGGTTGTGACGTTCTGGCGACATCTTATGCATGCAACAGAGGAAAAGCTCAGCCATCATTTAACAGAGACAGTAAATGATTGTCATTGCCTTGTCAGTGCCATTGTTATCGTTCAGAAAGTGCTGCTGTTGTTTGGATCTGTGTAAAAATGCAAAGGCAGCATAAAGTAGGGACTTCGTAGCGGCCCTATAGCGCGATCTCTGTATAAGAAGAGCTACCGTGAGGTTGCAAGACCACCAGATAACTCCAGGGAGTTCACATTGCACAGCTGGCTGACCAGTCCTGAGTTGCGGAGACTATCGTAATCTTTTGAGTGTTCATACCTGATGACGTGTGTTTCTGTCATCAGGAGTCTTGCCAACTGCGTTACGACCTTTGTGTGCACACTACAAGATTTCTCCACCGAGCCCTCGCCAACAGAGCCCCAGATAACGCGGCAACGTCACCAAACTATGTTTTGTCACACGTGAACAAAATAGGATATTATGAGGTTCCCCAGCGCTAAACTCTGCTCGTCAGCATTGATGTCTCGTCAGCTCGTCAGCTTGGAGGTCTGCGGGTGGTTTGCGCCCTGCTCTACTGTGGATGCCGCCATTGTTGTTGTTGCTTGCCGGCTTGTCCTCCTCCCATTTCTTCCGTCCTCCTGCGTGCTGACGTGGGACGTATCCCGCCTCTCATTGGTTGATGTTCTTTGTCTGTCGTGTCAAACTGTAAGTTTTTTAGCATGCCAGATATCCAGTCCCAGTCGCAGACAAGGGGGAAACTTGCTCATAGGCTTGTTCACACATGAGGACTCGACCATCTGCCGCCTCACCTCCAACCCAAGGTGGCTTTCAAGATCCTCTGCGACGTCAAAATCGGGGTGAAAATTGTGTAATGGCTAGGCTTAACACTCCACAAAATCACAGCTTGTAGTTTTGACATATTTGAACTTTTACAACATATATCATTTGTTAATTAGTGAGCCAAAAATCAGGCTGTGCTAGTGTGTGGGACTTATTCATACACATGAATGTCCATTATTCTCAAGCCCTTGCCGAACAAGTTCACACAGTGCTGATTAAGCATATCACCACCAGGGGAAGCTCTGTATTTCACTGTATATCGGAGTTTTGGAGTCTGTGGCAACTTGAAGTGCAACAGGAAGTGATGCATTTTACGTCAACTTGCCGGAGCTAAAGGGGGAAGGGTGCTGCTTTTTGTTTTGTTTTGTTTTGTCAGTGCTTCATCTGTATGTGCAGGACTCTGATGTTTTCTTCTGATAACTGTGTATGTTCACAGTTGGAAAGAAATATTTCTTTAAAAAGGATTTGGGGAGAGACCATAGTGACGGAGCAAGAGTTTTCTAAGAAGCGTCCGAGAAGAGTTCCTGGAGTGGATATGTCAGATAAAAAAAGAAACTCTGTGCTCAGAGGAAGGATTAAAGTTAAAAAAAAAAAAGTTCAGGAGAGCGCTCCTGAGGGCGGAGGAGATGTAGCGAGCTCAGCTGCAAGCATTCGTTATTAGCACACATTGTAATTACTGTCACTGCCACACAGGGGAGACAATAGACCCACACTACGGCTTCAAGCCTCATTAGTCGACTCAACTAATTTTAGATTCCAGAGTTTTTAGAAATTTCTGCCAGATCACCTTTTGTTTGATATTCAGTTTAAGCCTGGTCATGATGTCTGATGAATTGCCCAAATTATTATTGATCGTGCTCTTGGGCGATTGGTTGGATTTCCGCTGTTCATTCATTCTTGGCAAGAAAGCGGATAAGCCACACCAGCCAGGGACCCTTACGGTGTGTGGTTTCAATTTAGTCAGTTAGTGTTTCTCTGGCGTTCTGATCCCTCGGGGGACGTACATGCAAGTATGGCCTCAGGTCATCTATCACCTGAGTATCTATATTCTCCACATGCAGCTGTTATTGCAATATGAATATCTCAGCGTGGCCTCCTCACACGTGTTGTTTATTCTCTCCCTACGTCTTCTCTTTATGCCAGTTTCTCTCTCTGTCCTCACTCTGTGTGAGAGTGACTTTAACCCTCTGAGTGCAAGGAGCCATTCAGTCCAGCTGGGCCCCAGCCAAGACTAACAAGCTCACAGGCTGAAAGGAGAGAAGCATCCATGGGAGAGAAAGATGGGGGAGGTGTCGGAGTTGGAGAGAGTTAAAGAGGTTGAAAGGAATGGTGGAACATAGAGAGACATGAATAGAAGTGGAGAAAAAGAGAGCGTGTCCAGAGGACTTTGACTTTGCAAGAAGTGGGATGTAGGCTAGAGAGGTTAAGATGTGATTACAGTGAGAGACTGAAATTCCTCTGTAGCACAGGATTAACAGTCTGACCTTTTTTTTTTTATTCTTTCCCTCTATCACTCTTAATCTCTTTCCCCTAATGCCCTCTGCCTACTCTGATCTGTCTTTGCCTGAAACATTTACAGAGACCGGAAAATCATCGAGTAGCAATTGCTGTAGGAAGAAACAAAAACAAAAATAGCCACCTTTATGTGCATGTTCTGTATGTAACACAGTTTATGTAAGGAACAGTCAGAGGATTTAAAGAGCTGCTCCTGGTAAACTGTTTCCTGAGTCAAAGGCTCATGAAACACATCTGTAAAAGTTTTTCTTCCATCGTCACTCAGCAGTCTACATCTGCACTTTGATTTATAGGCAATATAAATATCAGAATAATTATGTGCTTTTGTTCTCTGGGACACGCCTCAAACCTTTATTTGCATCTTGGAGAGCTTTTGGAAAACTTTTTGGAGCCAATAAATTGGGGGGTGTGCTTGCGTGTGTGTGCGCCTGCAATAGCTTGCCAAACCAAACCACGGCAGCAGCAGAAAAAGCATCATAATGTTGCAAAGGCAGCAGCCAGAAGGCAGTTCCGACAACAAACCTCGCCTCTATCAGAGCCACTGAGCTGGAGCAGAGCTTGAATAACGATAAGGGAGGCGGGATGCAGGCATGACATGGGAGTGATTTGAGCGTGGCTGGTGTCACTTATGTCAGGCAACACTGTCAGTGTTTACTAGTTTATCTTTACTGTTGGAGCTGAAGCATCGTCTGGTTGGTTAAATTGTTTGGCTTTGTTAGCTGCAGCACTGCGAGTAAAGGAATATTGCAGCAAAATATATGTCTTTAGAATGTCAAACGCTAGTCCTCTGTAAACTGAAAATGTGGTTCTGAAATATTGGAAGCTTGCTCTCTTGTAGAGGACAACAGCATGGCCGGATTAACCTGTTTGGGAGCCTCAGGGCAGAATGACCTTCAAGGTTAAAAATTCATGTTTTGTCATTCTGTAACACAGGGTTGCACAAACAAATGCAAGTTGTAGTCACTTAAACAGTACACAAGAAAACAAACAAAAACACTGTTTTGTGGTGGAGCACAGAGGATGAGTCTCACAGCCTGAGGAGAAAAAAGCTGCTCTGTAGTCTGGTGGTACGATACCGGATACTTGTGTATCGCTTGCCAGACGGCAGCAGGGCGAACAGGCTGTTGCTGGGGTGGATGTTGTTGAAATCGCCTTATGCAGAATGTAAGCAAAAATATGAAATAATAAAGTTCTGCTTGACATATAGTTTGACATTTTGGGAAATATGCTTATTTGCATTTTTGCAGAGAGTGAGAAGATTGATACTACTCTTATCTGTCCTTCGCCAGGCAGTGGAGACTGCTGTAAAATGTCAAATATCCTGACAGTAGTACATGAGACAGATAATTTGTTAAAAAAAAATCATCTTCTTCTGGCTCCTCCTAGTGCTCCTCATGGCACTTGGAAGAATCCAATGCGCTCAAATCAAGCTCAGTATCGTCAGTGCATGGCTTCAGGAAGAGCTTTGCAAACACAGTGACTGAGAAACAACCGCCAGCAGTGAAGGGACTGCCCATTCCTCTTTTGCTAATAACAGCATACATGGCATAGACAAGTAAACAGAAGAAGGTCAATGCTGAAAAGCAAGCTAAAGAGAGAGTGCCTTAGCCTGTATTTATTTTTAATCCTTTCAGGTCTTGTAGCTCTCTCCATCTCAGAGAAGCCGCTCCCATGTTTACTATCGTTTAATCTTGGACTTGGTTTTAACGTCAGTCGTCTTCTGTTTACTTGCCTTTGCCGTATATGCTTTTGTTGGCAGTGCAGCATTAGAGCACACTGCATTAGAGACTCCTCTTCGCTCCAATTGGTTGCTTTCGTTCAGGTGCAGTGAATTCTTGCAAATACCATGAGAAGCACTAGGAGGAGCCAGAGGAACCTGATTTTTTTTTTTTAATAGATTATCCATCTCATGTACTACTGTCAGGATATAGTGACAGTTTCAGCAAATATGACAAAAGTTATATTTTAGTCAGGAACACTTTAGTCAAAGAAAACTTTATTTCCATTTGCAATATTATATTTAATGGTATGACTCTGTTCTGGGGCCTCTCTACTTTTCTGAGGCCTACACAGAAAGCCTCTTCTACACGCCTACATGGAAAGCCTTAAGGCAGAGAGAGCACACCTTTCCGCCCTTATTGTGTAAATAAAGAAAGCCTGAGGTGGTGAGAGCAAACCTCCCTGCCCTTCCATGCGCCTACATGGAAAGCCTAAGGCAGGGAGAGCAGCATCAATGACAAACAGAAATGACAGAAAAGGGGATGCGGGTTGCAAAGCAGCTTGCAGAGGAAGCAGCAACATTTGGCAGGCCGGAGCAGTTTAAACAGGGCACTCTGAATGAGATTTGCCAATTGGTTGCATAGAAAGGAATCACGTGATCTATCAGTTGACTCCCCTCCATCAATCAGCTGCTCCATCAGTGGATTGGGCTTTTTTCGCAACAAGAAAGCTAATGACCTTATTTTCCAAAATGACAAACTATACCCTCAGTACACTGCCAAATACACTATTTCCACATCACACTATCATCCTCCCAAAGCTCAAAGGTGAAGAAATGATTTTATTCCCCAAAGACAGATTCTCAGTGGACCTGTAAGTCCATTACTTCTCTCTTACTAAATGCTTCTATCACTTTCACTTCCAACAAAGTTTGACTTTTGTTTGATTGGTGTGAAAGACGATAGCATTTGGACAAAGCATCAATCATCTCTCCTCTCTCTGTCCGTCTTTTCTTCAGGTGTGTCAGTTTGTGGTGTCGGTGAACGGACTGAACGTCCTCTCTCACGACTACCGGACCGTCAGCAACCTGATCCTCACTGGACCCAGGACAATCGTCATGGAAGTGATGGAGGAAGCCTGAGGAGAGCCGTGAGAGAATCCCTCATAGATGAGTAGTGCAGTAATAACGTGGGGACTAGAAGGTTTAGTACTTGACCTTAAAACCACAGCGACAGAGCAACGTGGACGACTTGAGCCGCAACTCTCTCTCTCTCTCTCTGTCCCAACATTGTTTGGACAAGGTGTATGACTGTGAGACGGAGTGTGTTTAAGAATGTGGGTATTCAAGTCAAGGAAAAGATTCAACCTGTAGAAGAAACACACAGGTTGATTTTTTTTTTCTTTGAATTTGGAGACGCACACGTAAAACAGGGAAAGTGCAAGAGCCGACACTTCTACAGATGTTAATCCGACTGCCCACAGAGACTCTCAAGTGTTGTTGAAGAGACCCCAGACTTTTTGTGTGGAATAGGATGACCCATGTTGGCTGCTTTTTGTTTGGATTTGGAGCGGTTTCATGAATCTGTGGCTGACTATGACCAAGTGTTTAAAGGACGAGAGACTGAGTTCTTCAGTAGAACCAGGAGATGAACCGGTAGAAGCTGAAAGTGTAACAATAAGAAGGACTATTTCATGCTGACACATTCAGTGACCTCTCCCCCAGTTATTTCCAACAATGGACCTGCGGCAACACTGCCCTCTGCTGGGAGGCAGAGACACACACACACACACACACACACACACACACACACACACACACACACACACACACACTCACACACACACACAGAGGAGCATTTCTTTTTCAACGACATAAATCACATGTCTTTGGTGTCGGGGTGTTTTTGTTTTTTCTTTGCTTGGGGAAACCATTGTGTTAAATAGAAAGAGACACTTTTCTACCCTTGTGTGCTAAAACAAATCGATGCCCAGGTAAATGTATGTGTAGCTGCTGGGAATTAGTTAGTTTACAAGATAAAAAGTGCAGTGATAAACAGTATGTGACATAAACAGGCACAATGTACATAGAAGAGTTACGAGGGAGTAAACGCACAAACAAACTGAAGAAGTCCTGCTTTAGAAAAACAGTGTTTATCAGGTGAAGCCTCATAATTGTGCAAATTAAAACAAGCTGCAACACTGAGAACATTGGAGACTTTAAAGATACTTGCTTTATAAAGGATTAATAACCCCTTATCTTTATTAGTATCCCTTAGTTTAGATTTTTTAAAGAAATACGTGATATGCAAACCAGAAACTTCCACAATGACATAATGTGTCATTATTTGTAAGAGGTTGTTTAAAAGAATAGAAACTTCAGGAGTAAATGATCTCTGTCTTACATACTGTTGAGATATTCTTAACTCTCAAATATTAGGAAAAATTAGAAAATATTTCTAAGAGGGATTGCATTTATTGTTTAAAAAATGAAAGGTTTGTTTCATAACAACGGCAATGCCAAATACATCCTAAACTGTAATGCCAACCAAATATAATTTGGGAACTTAAAAGATTTTCTTGCAGCAGACATCGGAGTCAGTTGACCTAAAATATAGAATATATGTCTATATATCCTTTGATGTTAGAAGAATTAAAGGGTGAAATGACTATATGAGCACTTGAACTATTAATCATTTGTTTTTTTAACTAACAAACGCACTTAGGTGACAAAAGCTTTGTTTATGTTTAATAATATTTCAATTTTTAACATGTATATGCTTATATACAAGATTTCATTGTTGATTTTTTTTTTATGCAATCTTTATCAATTACTCACCCTGTCTTATGTTGAATTTGGGATGGAAAGTGAATTAATTCAAGTCATATGGCTCCATGTTTAACAGCAATACCATATCAAAACACCTGTTTACAAACTCTCACACAACTCGTGCAGTATAATCCAAGACACTTTCAAATAATATGAAGGGTAGCATGCCTGTGCTGTTCATGCATGACTGGATAAATGATCCTTGGATTACACTGCGCGAGTTGTGCGAGAGTTTGATGTTTTGATATAGTTTTGCTGTTGTGAAACGTGGACCCCATAGACTTCAATTCATAAAAAATGTTTGCCTTTTTTGGATTTTTCATTCACTGTGGAGACATGCAAAAAAACCCAAAGTTTTCTTAAAGAATTAAGCATAACACGGGGGTGAGTAACTGATATACAACTGATCATTTGGGGGGTGAAGTATTCCTTTAAAAAGGGTTACCTGAGAGTTAACTGCACTAAAGCAGACCTGACATTTAGATAAATGTATCATTAGAGTCCAAAATAACATCACAAGAATTAACTGTATGTTTATAGACTGTGCCATCACGTGCTTAGACATACTAGCATGAGGAGATCACATTTAAAACTTTACGATAATAAAAAGAAAAGTATGGACAAGTGATGCACATGTTGCTCATACAGCATGTGTCTGTAATCAATGGCTGAGCGAGTAAACACTTGTTTGTTTTAGACAAAACAACACTGCCTGGTTCATAGAATATGTACTTAGTTTAGTCCTGAGGTGACATTATTACTAAATACAACCTTTTTTATTTAACATGAACATATATTCAGGAAATCTGTATTGACAAACTGTTGAATGAACACAGACTGTATGTCACGGTAAACTGCCTCCGAGTCTCAGAAGTGGACATCTCATTGTTTTTTCCCCTCAGTATGCTTCGATGTTGTAAGCAGTGAAATGCATGATTCCTGTAAATCTGTGCTTATGTAGCATTAGCGTCGAATCCAAAGTGCTTCTTCAGTTAATTGACATGTAGGACTGAGTTATCTGACAGATCATTTCAGATGTAAAGTAGATTTGGGCCTTCAAAACTCTTCATTTTTAACATGCTTTCTGAAGAACAAAACTAAAGTTCAGTTTATAAAATTATAGAATATTTGATGTTCTCTGGCTGATAAACATTCATGACATTTTGTCATAGTTGGATGCTGATCTCAAAACTGCTCGCTCATGTTGTTGGGTGATGTCATACAACACACTGTTTTCACATCATGTAAAGATCATGGATAGTTTTGGGTTTGCTGAGTTTGGAGGAGATGTAATAGGGACACAGAGGTGTCAATTTTTTTCTGTACTTTTTCATATTGGTTATTTCTTTCCACACACCATTCAGCAGGTAACATGACGAAAATCACTTCCTCTGCAGACATTAGTGAGTCATCAATCAAGAATTTACATTAGTTTTTAACAGCTGATATCTACACCCATCATGGGTTCAGTTTTATTTTATTTTTGAATTAAAGATACACTATGCAGGAAATGTCGGCTACTGTTTGCAAATATTATCCCCAGCAAAAGTAAATGTGAAAGCTAACAGACTGGCGTTTTACCTTGCCAGTTTTTCAATGCTGCATCTGTGATTTTTGTAGCTTCCTCTTGAATGCCTGCTGCTTACGGTCTGGCACCTGGTTTCTAGTCCTGACCTCACCTGTGTGCTGTGTACGGGAACATCCTGGACACAGCAAAATGAGAAGTAAATAAGAAAATAGAGACAAATGGCAGAGTCTTTGCAGATAAATACATCTCCACACATCTACTGGGTCATAAGTGATGATGAGGGATAAGAGGGATGACCTTTGCATGAGTCTATACATTGTTTTTTATTTATTTTTAAATGAAAATCCTGCATAGTGTACCTTTTAAAAAACTCACCTACACACAGTTTTAGACACAGTATTTGTTCTTCTAACTGTGTCTGGAAATGATGTGGTTGAACAGCTGTGATTCTTGAGGAGAGGGGAGATGTTGCTTGTTTGTCTGAAGGCAGTTTGGAAAGAGCACAAAGGTTGATTATGGTCAAAGTTGACTCTTGGTAACTGAAAATATGCAGAATTGTGAAATGTATGTATGAAAAAGTGTTGAAGGAGTTCTTTGGGGTCATGGGTTGGCTGAAACGGGTTCACTGACTGCTCGACAATAAGCCTGAAAGCGTTTGCCTTAAGACCTTATTTTGCTGCTAATCATAGTCGGTGGTCATCTAATCTCCTGTTCCGTTCCCCTAGATCTGTTTATCTCTGGCTGCGTATATTAAAAGTGCTCGTTGTATTAGGCGATCATGCGTCAGTTCTGTTGACAATCAGTGTTTCAAGGACACCACCTTCAAATAGCACAACAGCAGTTTTAAAAAGCAATGGTCAGACAGAATGTATTCTCCTCCATCCTCTACATTGTGCTGTTGATATTGTCAGTTTTATACTTAATCTTTGATGACTGGTTTACTCATCTAATTAAAGGGATTCTTTTACTTCACGTTCACCTCATAAGGCCGGGGTGAGGGGCCCAAATATTCTCAGTGTGTTTTATTTTCTGGGGTATCAGAGATTGAATGTCAGGTTTGACAACAGTATAAGCTCACACAGTACCACAGTCTGTTTATGACAAAGCAGCTAAAGCTCATTCTGATGTTCTCGTGTATTAAACAGTTGATTAAGTGTTTAATAAACAAAGTGATTCTACTCTGTGCTTATGCTTTCATCTCCAGGACAGCTGGAAGTCTTTGTTCTTGGTAATTGATGTGATTTAGGCTCAGATTTAGGCTTTTTGGGTCTGATTTAGTGCTTGTTCAGTCCCATGAGTGTGTTGACTGTGCATGTCTAAAAGTCACACAAAAGGAGGTATTTTGTTTAAATAATGATAAAAAACATATTTTTAATGGAAATATAACTACTGACTTTAAAAATGACAGTCTTTCTTTAAGTCTATCTAGTTGCTGTCTGCAATTCCATTGGTGTAAATTTTATTGTTTAGCAGAGGTGTGGACAGGAGTCTCAAATTTGATGACATTGGATTCGACTTGACAAAATCAAAAGACTTGCCACTCGACTTGGACTTTGACATCAGTAACTTGTGACTTCACTTGGACTTGGAACCCCCAAACCCAAAGTTTAAAAGGTGTATTAATGAAAAAGTGTGCAACAAATCAACTCCTCTCCCTTAATTTCCTGAATCGACTAATGGTAATGCTATTAATTCCCAACAAGCCAACACTTAATTTTCCAGATACGCTTTGTTTGAACCAATCTGACAACATCCAGTCAAGTTGCAGGAGAAAACCATGAAGAACTAACGTTATGTCACTGAGCACCAGTTGAAAAAACTTAATGTTGTTCACGTACAAAGCTTACATAGTGGCTAACAAGGTTAACACATAGGCTTCTCCGTTAATACCCTGCCTGGCTTTCGTCCTTGCTAGACTGGCAAAAAGTAAGATGTGACACACCTGTGTTTTTTTAGATGTACTGTCAGAAATCTACCAGCAGGGGGTGCTGCTACACTGTAGCACACAGTCTGCAGCACATGAAAATTTTCTCTTCAGTTTCATGGATGTCAGCAAGAGACCATAGGCTTTATGAAGACAATTTGACCACCTCTGTATTGTGAAAGGTCTGTGTGCGAATACTGTCAACAGAAATGAAAAATATCTCTCATTCATCTTCAGTCAGCCTATTTTCTACAGACGCCTTGAAAGGCAAGTGAGAAAAAATAATCTAAATTGATCTCAATTGTTTTTACTCCTCTGATTATGATGTAAGAACAGGTGAAAAGGTTTTGCTAGGATAATCTTAAATATAATAATCTAAGTTCTGTCTTTATATCTGTGAAAACCCATGTTTTTGTACGCTGAAGTGCACCACTACCCCATGTCCTAAATAGGACTAAAGCAAGCCCCCAAGGTCATTCAAAGGACGCTGAGTCACACACTTTGACCCCGTGGGAGGTATGAGGTATGACACGTGCATTGTAATGGAGCTGCAATGTTGGAGTGTTACAGCAAACAGAAATAAGAAATAGAGGCATGGTGTCTGCTCAGGTGCTCTGCGGGTGCACTGTTTCTAGCCTCTGGGTGCGCTCAGCTTGACAGAACTTTTGGGGTACACTGAAATGAATGAGGCTGATATACAAGACAACATTGTTATATAGAAAGCATTTGTTTATCATGTTATATTGAGGATCTTTTAAAAAATAGTAGAATTGTAATTCTCACTCATGTCTTATAAAATTTGAATCAAGGCCATCTGCGGACGGCTATGACAGTGCGCTACCTGTTGAGTGCAGACCAGATTTATTGTGCATGGGTTGTACCCCTTCTCTTTAACCTTCTTGCAAGTGTGCCAAATTTTGAAACTAATTTGACATAGTCATGTGATGTCATTGAGCCCAAAAATACTTTTTTAATGGATGAGACCTGGACACAAGATTGTAGTTGGGACCCTGCTTATTCCTACAAATGTTGCTCAGTGGAGCATGAAGCCGAAAAAGCTCTATTTCTGCTGTATGAAATTACCTGGATGATCGACACTGCTCCCACATCATTGGGCTCACAGAGCAGGTGCATTAGAGACTTCTGCCTGCTGAACCGCCTAGTTCTGCTTTAGCGCTCTGCTAACTTGAATAGGAGTAAAATAAGCTCTTCTAGAATTTCCAAATGGTATCAGACTGAATGAATCAAATCTTCACACCAAATCAAGACATTTTGCAGGGGTTGTGACGCTAAAAAAAAAAGTATCCACTTATTTAAAGATGTCCCTCTCCCAGTGGGCCCAGTAGCATCACATGACAGACCCTGGAAATTGCAGTGCCACTGTTTAGCCACTACAAAAATTGGCTTTAAATCCCAACGTACTTCTTGGGGGGACTGCCTTTTTTCTGACTCACACTGGCAAAGTGACCTCTTTAAATAGGTGAATACATTTCTTTTTGACGTGTCATTATCAGAATTTGATCCCTTCGGTCCAATAACATTTGAACAGTTTAGAAGAGCTGCATGATGATATTATTTTCAAGTTTTTAGAGTGCTAAACCAGAAGTTATCCTGCTCGGGTGGTGGAAGTCTCTAGTGTGTCTGCTCTATGGGCCCATCGATCTGAACATCTGGGTAATTTTATACCCAGGAAGTCCAACCTTTTGGCTTCATGCGCCACTGAGCAACTTTTGCAGGTATGAATGAAGCCCCACTTCCAATGCTGTATCCAGTTCTCTTTACATCCATGGACTAAACACATTTAGGTTTCTTCCAGGCAACTTTTAATACCTCATTCACTCTAAACACGTTATACATGATGTGCGTTCGCACAATATGTAACATTACTGTCATGTTGAAACATTTTATTCCCACCAGCTTTACATATTTAAAAAAAAAAGAAGAAGAAGAAGAAGAAGAAACATAGACTATCCTGGCTAAACATTTGTGCGAAACACAGGATTGAAAACCATTTAGATCAGACTAGAAAACTGATTATTATTTTTCTCACTTGCCACTCGGGGCTTCTGTAATTTTTGCCTGCTCTTATGGCATTATTCATTTATTTATTTTTGCATAGCTGGATGATCTTCTGTCCTATTCCATATACAGATCTCCTCTGAAATGAAATAATAATTTGCCTGAGTTGCAAAAAACTGATTAATGTTGACCTACACCACAGTTTTGTTATTTCGAAGTGACACTTTGCTCACAGTAGCTATACAGGCATCCAAGTCTCCTTCTTTTTTTCTCTTTCTCTCTCTTATTTCTAATCGTTTTATCCTCTAGGGAAGACTGACAGATACACTAACTAGAAAAGGCCTTATCAGATGAGACCATCGCCACCTTTCATCCACCCATCCATCCATTCAGTACATTCACACATGCATTGATTAGCTCTGCAACCAACCTTCACGTTGCCTCCATTTATCTGTCTGTGTGTGTTTCTGCTCAGTAAACAGAGTGATACATACACACAGGAAATTAGAAACTGTTGCACACACACACACACACACACACACACACACACATACAGACCTCAGAGCGACAGCCTGCTGGACATTTTTGCTTGAAGGGAAGATGAAGAAGAAAGATGAGGGCATAGCATTTACACCACCAGCGATTCAACTGATAAGAAATGTGTTTATTTAACACAAAAAGTGCAAAGCAGCAAACTTTTACTGACAATTTGTACTGATGGTGTGAAATACTAATTTGTAATTCAATTATTCAGCAGTGTTTGTGTTAGAACAAATGTGTGGCAAACAGTAATGATGTGTTTGGAGGAGTGGTGGGCATTTTTATTAGCTGATTTTGTTGTTTTCATGGGCCCTTAGAGAGTAATGTGTTGATATGGCGTGCTTGCTGCACGAAGAATCACAGTTACACTGCCAAACTTACTGTAGCAATCCAATTCCGACTGGGGCCAGCAACACACTAAAAATGTACGCACTCACAGGAGCCTGTGATGAAAGCATTCACCAAGTGGCATATATTTTAAGATCATATTAAGGTTTGAAAAGCCCAGTTGGTCCAATTAGAGCAACACCAATGCAGACGTTATAAGCCAAGATCAAGTAATTAATACACATAAAGAAAAAATCCCTCTTGTGACAGAAGCCAAAATAAGAGAAATATGAGGTGCATTGAAAGCAGCTTTTATTCAGAGTGTTAGACAAGGACAAGGAAAACATAGTTTCTCACTCATTTCTATCCTGACTCTACTCTTCACATCAGCGTTTTTAATTACTATTAAATATGATGACATTTTTTAAATAAGTGATTATGCTATTAAGATCACAAAAATTGATTTTCAACTTCTGTGTGTGGATGGATTTCTGAACAAGCCTTACGAGCACAAGCCCAGGGGCCCAAAGTGTCAGGTGGTCCCTGGCCTTCACTTGCAAATTAACGCGTACTGACTAGGAAGAGATTCAAACCGACCAAAAACAGACACGAAAAGACCACAAAGAGATGCAAAGGAACTGCAAAGAGACACAAAATTACTACACAAAATGGGCAAAACAACCACAAAGAGACACAAAAAGACTAGAAAGAGACAGAAAATGACTAGAAAGAAACACAAAACAACCACAAGGAGACACAAAACAAGTAGAAAGAGACATAAAACAACCACAAAGAGACACAAAATGACTAGAAAAAGACACGAAACAACCACAAAGAGACACAAAACCATAAAGAGACACCAAATGACTACAAAGAGACATAAAACAACCACAAAGAGACACAAAACAATCAAAGGGACACAAAATGACAGCAAAGAGACACAAACCAACCAGAGAGACACAAAATGACTACAAAGATACACAAAACAACCACAAAGAGACACAAAAAAACACAAAGAGACATAAAACAACCACAAGGAAATACAAAATGAGTACAAAGCAGCGAAAAGTGACCAAAAGAAACATAACATTACCTCAAAGAGACATTAAATTACCTTAGCAAGACACATTACCTGAAAGAGACCAAAATGCATAAAAAGAGACACAAAAACAACCACGAGACACAAAACAACTACAAGGAGACTCAAAGCCACAAAAAGATGCATAACAGCTACAAAGAAACACCTACCCACCAGAAAGCCTATGTGTCTTGCTCTTATGTATGAAGTGGTGGGGTCCTTTGTATATCTGTGCCCAGGGGCCCATTGTCTCATAATCCGCTAATGCTGTGTTGGCATCCTTTGTTGCAAAGTTCC